GTGGAAGCCGCGGCCACCAGAACCAGTGATCATAAGGTGATGATCGAGTTAATTCAATCTAACATCTTTAGTCGTTTTGGTATGCCCCGAGCAATCATCAGCGATGGCGGATCACATTTTAGAAATCGTTATCTTAAATCCGTCCTTTCTAAGTATTCCGTCATTCATAAGGTTGCTACACCTTACCATCCTCAAACGAGTGGTCAAGTAGAGGTTTTCAACCGGCAGATAAAGCATATTTTGCAAAAATGGTTCGACCGGACCACAAAAATTGGTCGCTAAGACTAGACGATGCATTTTAGGCTTACCGGACGGCTAAGAGCATATTCTTGACGGTTATTCCGACTATAACCAAGTGGTAATCGCCCCCCAAGATCAAGAGAAAACAACATTCACATGTCCCTTTGGAACTTTTGCATATCGACGCATGCCTTTTGGGCTATGCAATGCTCGGGCAACGTTTCAAAGGTGTATGATGTCCATATTTTCCGATATGGTTGAAAAATTCTTGGAAGTTTCCATGGACGATTTTTCTATCTTTGGCTCCTCCTTTTATTCGTGTCTCAAAAATTTATCTTTTGTACTCCAAAGATGCAAGGAGACAAATCTAATTCTAAGCTGGGAGAAATGCCATTTCATGGTCCAAGAAGGCATTGTTCTAGGACATGTCATCTCTAAACGGGGAATCGAGGTAGACAAGGCCAAAGTTTAGTTAATCTCTAATCTTCCTCCTCCGAATTCCATCCGTCAAATCCGTTCTTTTCTTGGCCATGCCGGATTCTATCGTCGCTTCATCAAAGACTTTAGCAAAATCTCACAACCCTTGTGTAAGCTCTTAGCCAAAGATGTTCCATTCATTTCTCGCTTACTCATTAAAAAATCTTCCGATTTCGCCGTTGTCCGTGATTCCTTTCCGGATGAGCAACTCTTCCAGATTTCTCATGTAAATCTTCCATGGTTTACGGATATTGTTAACTACCTTACGGTAGGTAAAATTCCAACTCATTGGTCCAAACAAGAGAAGGATCGGTTCTTCTCCTAAGTCAAGCATTTCTTTTGGGAAGATCCGGAACTATTCAAATACTGCCCGGACCAAATCATCCGGCGATGTATTCCCGAAATTGAGACCACAAGCATCCTCAATTTCTCTCATACTCTTGATTGTGGAGGCCATTTCAGTGCCAAAAAGACCGCTCATAAAGTTCTTCAAAGCGGATTCTATTGGCCTTCCTTGTTTTGAGATGCATACAATTTCTGTAAATCATGTGAAAGATGCCAAAGGCTCGGATCCATGTCCCAAAGAGACATGATGCCCCTCACTTCCATCTTAATAATTGAAATTTTTGATGTGTGGGGAATCGACTTTATGGGACCATTTCCACCTTCTTATGGCTATGAGTACATCCTTGTAGCGGTGGACTACGTTTCCAAATGGGTGGAAGCCGCGGCCACCAGAACCAGTGATCATAAGGTGATGATCGAGTTAATTCAATCTAACATCTTTAGTCGTTTTGGTATGCCCCGAGCAATCATCAGCGATGGCGGATCACATTTTAGAAATCGTTATCTTAAATCCGTCCTTTCTAAGTATTCCGTCATTCATAAGGTTGCTACACCTTACCATCCTCAAACGAGTGGTCAAGTAGAGGTTTCTAACCGGCAGATAAAGCATATTTTGCAAAAAATGGTTCGACCGGACCACAAAAATTGGTCGCTAAGACTAGACGATGCATTTTGGGCTTACCGGACGGCTAAGAGCATATTCTTGACGGTTATTCCGACTATAACCAAGTGGCAATCGCCCCCCAAGATCAAGAGAAAACAACATTCACATGTCCCTTTGGAACTTTTGCATATCAACGCATGCCTTTTGGGCTATGCAATGCTCGGGCAACGTTTCAAAGGTGTATGATGTCCATATTTTCCGATATGGTTGAAAAATTCTTGGAAGTTTCCATGGACGATTTTTCTATCTTTGGCTCCTCCTTTTATTCGTGTCTCAAAAATTTATCTTTTGTACTCCAAAGATGCAAGGAGACAAATCTAATTCTAAGCTGGGAGAAATGCCATTTCATGGTCCAAGAAGGCATTGTTCTAGGACATGTCATCTCTAAACGGGGAATCGAGGTAGACAAGGCCAAAGTTTAGTTAATCTCTAATCTTCCTCCTCCGAATTCCATCCGTCAAATCCGTTCTTTTCTTGGCCATGCCGGATTCTATCGTCGCTTCATCAAAGACTTTAGCAAAATCTCATAACCCTTGTGTAAGCTCTTAGCCAAAGATGTTCCATTCATTTCTCGCTTACTCATTAAAAAATCTTCCGATTTCGCCGTTGTCCGTGATTCCTTTCCGGATGAGCAACTCTTCTAGATTTCTCATGTAAATCTTCCATGGTTTACGGATATTGTTAACTACCTTACGGTAGGGAAAATTCCAACTCATTGGTCCAAACAAGAGAAGGATCGGTTCTTCTCCTAAGTCAAGCATTTCTTTTGGGAAGATCCGGAACTATTCAAATACTGCCCGGACCAAATCATCCGGCGATGTATTCCCGAAATTGAGACCACAAGCATCCTCAATTTCTCTCATACTCTTGATTGTGGAGGCCATTTCAGTGCCAAAAAGACCGCTCATAAAGTTCTTCAAAGCGGATTCTATTGGCCTTCCTTGTTTTGAGATGCATACAATTTCTGTAAATCATGTGAAAGATGCCAAAGGCTCGGATCCATGTCCCAAAGAGACATGATGCCCCTCACTTCCATCTTAATAATTGAAATTTTTGATGTGTGGGGAATCGACTTTATGGGACCATTTCCACCTTCTTATGGCTATGAGTACATCCTTGTAGCGGTGGACTACGTTTCCAAATGGGTGGAAGCCGCGGCCACCAGAACCAGTGATCATAAGGTGATGATCGAGTTAATTCAATCTAACATCTTTAGTCGTTTTGGTATGCCCCGAGCAATCATCAGCGATGGTGGATCACATTTTAGAAATCGTTATCTTAAATCCGTCCTTTCTAAGTATTCCGTCATTCATAAGGTTGCTACACCTTACCATCCTCAAACGAGTGGTCAAGTAGAGGTTTCTAACCGGCAGATAAAGCATATTTTGCAAAAAATGGTTCGACCGGACCACAAAAATTGGTCGCTAAGACTAGACGATGCATTTTGGGCTTACCGGACGGCTTATAAGACACCCATTGGCACGTCGCCATATCGACTTGTCTTTGGCAAAGCGTGTCATCTTTCGGTAGAATTTGAACACCGTGCTTTTTGGGCCATAAAAAGGCTAAATTTTGATCTCAAATAGGCCGGCTTTAATCGTGCTTTGCAACTAAATGAACTTGAGGAAATCCGAAATGATGCATATGAAAGTGCCAAAATCTATAAGGCAAAGACTAAAGCTTTTCATGACAAGCACATTGTTAGCAAGTCTTTTGCCCCGGGACAAAAGGTTTGGCTTTTTAATTCCTGCTTGAAACTCTTTCCCGGTAAACTCCGGTCAAGATGGGATGGTCCATACATCGTCACTACTGTCTCCCCTCATGGAGCAATCAAACTCCAAGATCCGGCAAAAGGATCGTTCTTCAAAGTTAATGGCCAACGGCTTAAGCCTTGCATTGACGGCATAATCCCAACCCAAAAAATTGAGAAAGTCCTCTTGATGGACCCAATTTACGAGGATTGATGCCTACTCTAGCTTCGTCTAGCTATCGACTTTAAATTTAGCAAAGCAAGGGAAGCAATTCTTTCTATTTCCAGGCTTCTCTACTTTTCCAATTGCTTGAGCTTTGAAATTTTCTGGGAAATGGTTAAGAAAAGCCAAAACTTTAACCTTATCTAGAACTATTTTAAATTGTGTTCCCGCAATTCAGGCTGGTTTTCTTAGACCTTCTCAACCCTTGTTTTCATTCCCGGATGTTTCCATCTCTTTCCAGCAATTTCATCGGATCTTTGGAATGCTACACATGTGTGTAACCTCTCATTTTTAATACATTGTTGGATCATTTTTCCCCAAATTCCATCCATGTATTGGAGTGATGTTGCAAAGTTTGAAAATTTTCCCCAAATTCCATCCATGCATTGAAGAGATGTTAACAAATTGGCCATTTCAGTCATTTCACCCAGGCTTTTGCTCACTGGTCAAATTTCGAGCACTCGAAGCTTCCATTTTTCATTCAAGAGCCTACTGCCTCAAGTTCGAGCGCTCGAAGACACACTTCGAGCGCTCGAAAGTCCATAAAAACACACTGTCCAAACTTCGAGCGCTCGAAGTATCCCTTTCGAGCGCTCGAAACTCACTGCCCCAAGTTCGAGCGCTCGAAGGCCTAACTTCGAGCGCTCGAACCCTCCTTCCCTCCTTTTTAAATCTGAACTCTCTCTCTCCCGCGTCTTTCCAGTCTCTCAACCCACGACCTCCTCCCTTCATTTTTAACTTCTTCTCTTCCATTACTTTCCTTTCCCCCCCCCCCCCACTCCTTCCATCAACCCACAACCTCAACCTTTCCAACTTCCTCTCTTCCTCCATTAACTCCTAACCCACCCCACTACTTTCCTTCATTCACCAACAACCCACGACCTCAGACCTTCCAACTTCCCCTTCCTTCCATAATTCATCTACCTATTTCACTCCTCTCCTTCCTCCACATCCATCCCTATAAATAACCATCACCCCCACTATTCCTCCTCATTCCATCCGTGCTTCTCTCCACTCCTCTTTCAAGGTATGTCTCTTCCCTCTTTCTCTTCAATCTTTTTGTTCCATTTGTGTTACATTTGTTATTAAACCTTTCTAAAGTTTTTTATAGACTAAAATTGGGTTTACTAATTATTGGGGCTTCAGGTTCTAAGTTACCTAATAATACCTTAAGTTTTTTAAGATATAAGGTTTTTAACTCAGGGTCATCTACCTTACTAATTAAATCAATAAGTAGATATTCTAGTTCATCATTTTTTGTGAGGACATTAAGTGACTTATTAGGATTGCAGCAGCTATCTTTACATCCTAGTGTAATATTGGGAGAACTGAGAAGCATTAGATGACTGGGAGGAGGAACCAACTTCTGGATCACTATTGTTATCATCAGTATCTTTTAACTGAAGAATTTGATAAATGGATTCTTTAATCTCACTGGGGATTTGTAACTGATTGATCTTTGTTTTTGCATAGCAATCTTTTGCAAAGTGACCTAGACGACCACATTTGTGACATTTAACTTTGCTAATATCTATGGTAGTAGGGGTATTCTTTTTCTTAAAAACCTTTTTACTAAATTTCTTTTTAGGCTTTTGACAATAATATTCAGTTTTTGGAAAGACTGGTTTCCTGTTTTTGTAATGTCTACCGTAACCTTTGTAACTCTTCTTTTGTGATTTTGGGTTTTGTCTAGAGGGAGCTAAGGGTGGAAGACCATATTGTTTACAAAAGGTTCCCATTTCATATTTAGCTCTTTTCCTATCATCTTGTAATTGGTTACTAATTTTCATGTCAATACACATTCTTAATCCTTCCTTTTGGATTAGGCTGAAGATATTGCCATATGTGAGAGTATCATAGTCAATGTTACCTGTGGCTTTACTAAGAGTATCTCTAATCTTATGAGCAAAAAGATTAGGTAATCCATTAATGAATTTTTCTTTCCAGAATGGTTTGTTACTATCATCTCTCATCATAACTCTGGATAAGAATATATCTTTATACCATCTAAAATCACTCATGGTTGGACAAGAGAGATTGGTAAGTTGGTCATGTATTTTGGAGGTGATGTTACTTGGAGTACCTATAAAATGGTCAACTATGGTATAAACAAGGGTATTAACTCCATCAGGAATAGCACGACCTATGGCTTCATAAAAAATGGGAAGACCCTCATTATTCTTTTGAATAGCATTTTTGATATGTGCTCGAGAATCTTCAGTTAGATGTTTCTCCTACCAAGATTTTAACATCCCTGAAAATCTTGATGCGAGAAGATCAACTATTTCTAGTTAACTAAGATTATGTGTAGTAACATAGTTATTAGCCACCATTGAAATATGACTTAGTTTATTAAGAATTTCTTGTTCGGATAAACCATCAATATTCCATTCATTAAGTTTATCAGAAGAGACAGAAAATTGATTTTGAATGTTTCTTTCTTTATATTGAAGATCAAGAAGTATCGGCCTGGGGTACCAATTTTTCGTAAGACTAGTTGGATTAACACGTTTATTGACTAATCGATTAATTTCTAGGTTAAAAAAGCATGTTCGATTTGCTAGATATCAGAGGGGTAACTAGAGGTAGAAGAAGGACTATCAGAATCATCAGTATTATGAATAACAGTGATTGTTTTGTCATCTTTAATAGCTTTGCCTTTCTGCATTATTTTGAGAATGGTCTCAATTTGGAGAATGACAGAAGGATCAGGGAGGGCTTTGGGAAGGCCTTTTCGATTTATAGTTATAGAGATAATGGGTGACTCAAGTGCGGTAGAAGTGACAGGAGGAACGGTAGGCTGAGTAAGGGAGAGTTCAATTTTATCAAGTTGAGTACAAATGGTATGTATATATTGATTAATAAAATTATTTTGTTCAATTATCTATTTGGTTTCAGTTTTAGCTGTGGTACTAATTTTTAAAGGAGAGGTGGTGACTTCGGTTCCCAAATGGTTAATAATGAGATTGTTCATTGGAGGGTGAAACGAGGAGATCATGGTGTCATCAGATTTCTTCCATTTGACCTTAGTGAGGACATTAACTCGATTATAGCAGTTTTCTAGATAATCAAAAAATTTGATCTCTAGTTGATGCTCTGTCATAAATCTTTGCCAATGACGGAGGACTCGTTGTTGTTCTTTCTCAGTATGGTTTTTTCGGAATGTTTTTCTCTGTACTTTATTTTCTTGGGAGGTGTATTCTTCATGTAACTTGGAGAGGTTATATTTAAAAGGTTTACTAATGACAGTTAACTGAGGATTAATGGTCTTGATATTTCTAATAAAATCAGAGGGTGAGGGAGAATTAGGAGTGGACCTAGAAAGTCCAATTTTTGGAGGAGGTTGCTCATAACAAGGGTGACTAAGTTGTTCTTCAGTGTGAACACCTTTAAGCTTGATGTCTGGTGGATGGAATCTAGAATTTTTTCTTTCCAGAGAAGGAATGTCCTCTTCTCGTTCCAGTAGATGAGTATCAGTTCTTGTGGAAGAAGTAGAGGGACGAGATCTAGTCAGAAGGTGTTGTTCATCAAAACTTATTCTGATTGTTCCGTCAATAAATTCCTGGACTCTATCAAGATTACTAACATCATTTTGAAGGTGAACTGGATGATTTTCATTTTCAAGAAACCATTCATTGGGTAAAGAAATATCTTTCCAAGCAATAGATTTCTTTAGTTGAATATTAGCATCAGAGGTGTTACCTTCAAAGAGTAAGGTGTGACCTTTGATGTCTTTTTTAATGGCTTGGACATTAAGATTGGTTTTTCTGGTCTTGTAATAGATCTGGTAAATTAGACCTAAGGGTTGTGAACTAGGGAGCATCTTGTAACCAGAAGTTTTGACACTAAGAGTTAAAGCTTTTAAGATGTGTGGGTCAGTGAGACTGAGAGTAAGATCAGGGTAACAATTGAAGTGAACTGGTCCATTACAGAGACTTGTCTCAATTATTCCTAGAAGACTATCTTTATAATCTAGGAATCTAGCATCACGAAGAGCTAAGAGGACTGAAGCATTAAGGCCAGTATTAGTGAATGGGTTGATTGCAACTTGAACTAGACCTATGCGTAGAAAGTTGTATCCACGATCTTTGTGACTTTTGATTGCTTGAGCTATGAATAACTGACATTTCTCATGTTCTTTAGACAGTGAGTAAATTTGTTCGACGGTTTTAACTGTGTACTCACTGAGGAATGTTGACTTAAAGAAACTGGTTTTGTAGAACTCTCTAGTTGGAATCCTGGGGATATTCCATTCACTAAAATCTAAAGTAACATCTTCAATTCTGTAATCTTCTTCATTAATTATATTTGGAACTGGAGGAAGACTAGTACTAGTTCTGGATCTAGAGCTCATAGAGGAGGAAGATCTAAATAACCTATTCATGGCTACTTAAGTCAAACTATCTCGGGTTGGTTGACTGGGTCAAACATCCTATCATCATGATTCTCTCAAAGTGGTATCTAATTCCTATCCATGCACTCATCCGCTCATGCCGTCCCGCTCAGGCCTCACTGGGTCTTACTGTTTGGCTCAGGTCTTATTGTTTGGATCTGGACTTACAAGAAGGAGGAAGAGTACAGCAATATGAGAATCAATTAAACAAAATGATTGAAATAGAACAACGAAACTAGAGAAGCAAGAGAAAAGATACAGAATAGATTACTCAGATAACCACAAAATGGCTTTGATACCAAAGGGGACATCAGAGCCATTTGGTCTGGATGCGAGCCCAGACCAGACTGTTCCTACTTGGGTGCCAGCCCCGTGACTTCTTTTCTTCTGTAATACTGGTCTGGAACTGGAGCCGTTCCCCTGATGAGGCCAAGGCAGGCCGAAACCAGTCATTTCTCTTCCGAGCACAAGATGATCAGATCCTGATCTGGATGGCTAGATCATCATCTTGTAACGATGATCTTTATTAAATATATTATGGTATCAGAGCTAAGTGGCGATCAATCAACACCCATTTCAGCTATGAAGATGATGAGTTTTATGGTTGCCGAGAAAGTGGTGGCATCAAACCACTTCCCGTGAGTCCAGGTCCAAATAGTAAGTCCAAGATCTAAACAGTAAGCACCAATTCCTACTTGGTTTCTTAAATGGTGGTCATGCTTTGGCTCCATTCCAGAAATCCTCCCTCCTACTCTCGCAGATCAAGTCAAATATTTCCACACTGTTTACAAAGTCAGTAAACACAACTCCCAGTTCCCAGTTCTCTTCCTCTTTTCTTGTAAATACAAAGTCCCCCCTTTGGTATCAGAGCCATTGGGTGGTTATCTGAGTAATCTATTCTGTATCTTTTCTCTTGCTTCTCTAGTTTCGTTGTTCTATTTTAATCATTTTGTTTAATTGATTCTCACATTGCTGTACTCTTCCTCCTTCCTGTAAGTCCAGATCTAAACAATAAGACCTGAGCCAAACAGTAAGACTCAGTGAGGCCTGAGCGGGACGGCATGAGCGGATGAGTGCATGGATAGGAATTAGATACCACTTTGAGAGAATCATGACGATAGGATGTTTGACTCAGTCAACTAGCCCGAGATAGTTTGACTTAAGTAGCCATGAATAGTTTATTTAGATCTTCCTTCTCTATGAGCTCCAGATCCAGAGCTAGTACTAGTCTTCCTCCAGTTCCAAATATAGTTAATAAAGAAGATTACAGAATTGAAGATGTTACTTTAGATTTTAGTGAATGGAATATCCCCAGGATTCCAACTAGAGAGTTCTACAAAACCAGTTTCTTTAAGTCAACATTCCTTAGTGAGTACACAGTTAAAACCGTTGAACAAATTTACTCACTGTCTAAGGAACATGAGAAATGTCAGTTATTCATAGCTCAAGCAATCAAAAGTCACAAAGATCGTGGATACAACTTTCTACACATAAGTCTAGTTCAAGTTGCAGTCAACCCATTCACTAATACTAGCCTTAATGCTTCAGTCCTCTTAGCTCTTCGTGATGCTAGATTCCTAGATTATAAAGATAGTCTTCTAGGAATAATTGAGACAAGTCTCTATAATGGACCAGTTCACTTCAATTGTTACCCTGATCTTACTCTTAGTCTCACTGACCCACACATCTTAAAAGCTTTAACTCTTAATGTCAAAACTTCTGGTTACAAGATGCTCCCTGGTTCACAACCCTTAGGTCTAATTTACCGGATCTATTACAAGACCAGAAAAACCAATCTTAATGTCCAAGCCATTAAAAAAGACATCAAAGGTCACACCTTACTCATTGAAGGTAACACCCCTGATGCTAATATTCAACTAAAGAAATCTATTACTTGGAAAGATATTTCTTTACCCAATGAATAGTTTCTTGAAAATGAAAATCATCCAGTTCACCTTCAAAATGATGTTAGTAATCTTGATAGAGTCTAGGAATTTATTGATGGAACAGTCAGAATAAGTTTTGATGAACAACGCCTTCTGACTAGATCTTGTCCCTCTACTTCTTCCACTATAACTGATACTCATCTACTGGAACGAGAAGAGGACATTCCTTCTCTGGAAAGAAAAAATTCTAGATTTTGTCCACCAGACATCAAGCTTAAAGGTGTTCACACTGAAGAACAACTTAGTCACCCTTGTTATGAGCAACCTCCTCCAAAAACTGGACTTTCTAGGTCCACTCCTAATTCTCCCTTACCCTCTGATTTTATTGGAAATTTCAACACCATTAATCCCCAGTTAACTATCATTAGTAAACCTTTTAAATATAACCTCTCCAAGTTACATGAAGAATACTCCTCCTAGGAAAATAAAGTAAAAAGAAAAACATTCCGAAAAAACCATACTGAGAAAAAACAACAACGAGTCCTCTGTCATTGGCAAAGATTTATGACAGAGTAACAACTAGAGATCAAATTTTCTGATTATCTAGAAAACTGCTATAATCGAGTCAATGTCCTCACTAAGGTCAAATGGAAGAAATCTGATGACACCATGATCTTCTCGTCTCACCCTCTAATGGAAAATCTCCTTATTAACCACTTGGGAACCGAAGTCACCGCCTCTC